ACACATATTTCTCTATGTATTTATACCGTAACTCTAATTGAAAGAACATTAAACAAATAAAATATCTAAGCATTGCCTGTATAAAAGTTCTCAAGTTTAAGAAATAAATAAAGATTGAACATGAACATTTAGAGAATATCAATGATATGGCCACCTGTCGACTATTTTAAATCCAAGCTGGCAAACAAAGTGATGTGCATAAAGATCCTATAAAGTACATACCAAGTTTATCAACAAAATCTGTCTACCTTGTATGCATGACCAAGATCCAGACGCGTAATTGCAGAAATACTTGATACATTAAAATAGTCGCCATTCGGCCATCTTGAATTGTCAAATGAATATATCTGTATATGTGCGGCATGATTTATGATGTATATCTAACGTTTAAAAATGTTTGGTAGTGGAATGTCTGGAATACAACTCTGAACCAAATTTGTTTACAGTAGTTGTGACTTGAAAACAGCTAGAGCAGTAACAACTGAGAAAGCCCTCTCGCCATAGTATTTAGTTCTAGAACATGGTCCTCAGTTTAGAAGGTGTTGTTTAGAAGAGTTGATTGTGAAGATATATATAGAGCAATGGCATCAGTAATGTAAGCAGAAGCAAGATTGTTGTAGGTTTTAAATGTTAGACGGTATATAATTTGTTTATGAACTGGCAAATTAACCAAAGAAGTTGAAGCGGGATAAAATGTTGTTTATGTTTACTACATTTAACAATTGTGGAGCAAAATTCCAGATACGTTCAAGCTGGGATGATGGTGACCCGTAGAGCAACGAGTGGCTATAGTCTAAACTGGATGTAACAAACGATTATTACCAGTAGGCATTCATTTTTGTGGTCCAGATATTTGTGAATTTTCCAAATTTTGAAAAATATGCCGAAGTTAGGTGACTTGCAAATGTTTTTGACACTGTTTTAATTGTACACTGTTGCATAATGATTCTAAGATCTTCGAAGGGATGTCAATGCCACCAATATTGATGGAAGGAAGATCTGAATGACTGGTCAACAGTTGGTCAGAGGTTATGAAGTGAAAAAAAAATGTACATCATACGCAACGCATAACAGCAAACATAATGTACAGTTGTATATTATGATTTGACCAATTTTGAACAAAAACATAGTTTAACTCTTGTGACCTTGCCCTTTGTTATATATTATTATTTCTTTTATCATAGTTTGTTGAAATATGAATATGCATTGTCATAATTAATTTTTATACAAACAAGATTTAGGATTGAAATAGCAGTGAGAAAGCAGCCTACCCAAAATATCTCTTCACAAGGGAATTATTATTTATAGTCTGTGAGGGAGTATAAGTCACATCACATATTGGGGGCAGAAAATGTGTTTGGGGAAGGCGGATATAATTCATATTGGGAGCAGAACAACTACACATGTTGGGGACATAAAATTAGTATATTTCTGTGTGAGAAGATATAATTCAGGCACATATTGGGGGCAGCATATCTGCATGTAAGAGGTTAAAGGTAATTTAAAGCAAATTAAATGATTATACTTACAGTACACTGTAATGGGTACACTATTTGAATTAACATCTCCAGTGATTCGTGAATTCCTTGCTTTACACTTATACTCTGCTTGGTTATCTTCAGCTCTTGTTGTTATTGTTATTTGTTGTTCTGATATCTTGCCATTGTAGTCACCATTAGTTTCAATTAGAGACCCAATATTGATATTATCATCGTTATCTTCTATTTTATTATTATTCCTGTACCATAGTATAGTAGCTGATGGGTTACTAGTTGTTGTTGTACAGATTAACAGTATATTGCTACCACTGGTAACAGCACCAGTATAGCCAGACAAACTAGCACTGTCAGGTTTAACTGAAAAATAAATAAATTAAAACAATATTTCAGTATCATGTTCATTGTTACACATATGTTTCTATGTATTTATACCGTAACTCTAATTAAAGGAACATTATAAAAAAATAAAATATCAAAGCATTTCCTATATGAAAAAATCAGATTAGTGAGGCAAGCAATGTTTGCCATTATGCTGTTTATTAATGGGTACTTCAAGATCCCATTTTAACTGAAAATGGAATTAACATGTGAACAGGCTAATTCCATTTTAATAGGTTTATTCTTTTTTGCTTTTTTTACTATGGTTGTGCTGGGCAACATGTTGTTGGTCTAAATGAGCAGGTGTAAATAGGACCCCAATTTTCGATATTTGGAAGCAAGTGCAGATATGCACTCTTTATATATACAGGTGTGTGATTAGGCAGCTACAGGAATCAAAACCCATTATCTTGCTAGTGCAAGACAAACATCTTATCATAAAGGTTCATCATTACACACATCAATCTTACTACACAATATCTATTTTGTCATACATGCAAATATTTTCCTTGTAAGCAGAACAATGTTAACTTCATCAGTATTACCAGACATGGCAGTTTTAATACATGACATTATAATGATGAAAAACAAATAGAAATAACAATATAGAACATTGGCTTTGATACCATATTAAATTTTTCCCTTGCTTTCAATCTTCCACTAATGAATTTGATTATGAAGATAATTACAGATTAATTTGTAATAAAAGTGTATGTAAAAGTTTCATGCTCATATATGTTGGTCATATTAATTATTTAGTTTTAATTAATCTAATTGTTTGACAAAAATATAAATACTAGATTATACTTACAGTACACTGTAATAAGTACACTATTTGAATTAACATCCCCAGTGATTCGTGAATTCCTTGCTTTACACTTATACTCTGCTTGGTTATCTTCAGCTCTTGTTGTTATTGTTATTTGTTGTTCTGATATCTTGCCATTGTAGTCACCATTAGTTTCAATTAGAGTTCCAATATTGATATTATCATCATTATCATATATTCTAATATTATTCCTGTACCACAGTATAGTAGCTGATGGGTTACTAGTTGTTGTTGTACAGGTTAAAACTATATTACTACCACTAGTAACAGCACCAGTATAACCAGACAAAGTAGCACTATCAGGTTTAACTGAAAATAGAATTAATATGTGAATTACTACAAATGA